GCAGCAGCAGTATCGCGCACAACCAGCACATAACGAGCAACAGAAGCAGACAGCTGGCAGCGGCAACTGAGGTTCTTGTAGCAGCGGTTACTAATCTTACCAGCACAGCTGCAGCTGCTGCTGCTGTGCCCGTCAGCCGCTGCGTTGCACTGGCTGCTGCTGCCATTGCCCTGCCCGCTGCTGTTGCTGCTGTGCTTGCCAGTTTTGCTGCTGCATTTACTGCTGCTACCGTTTTCCCTGTCGTCTTTGTGTGCGGCAGCTGCCGTTGCTGCTGATTGTGGAGCTGTGCCCGCTAGCGAAGCTGCTGCACTTGCGATTACTCTCAGCACCGCTGCTACTGCTGCTGCTGCTGCTGCTGCGCTGCAGGCTGCTGCGGTGCGCCAAGGCCTGGGAGAAGTCGTGCCGCTGCAGATTGTCGACCTGCTAGAGCCCCCTCAGCTGCAGCGCCTCATCTGCGGCAGCCCCTCGATAGACCTGCAGCTTTTGCGCAGCCACACGAAGTACACCGGCTACGCGGTAGGCGAGCGCCTAGCAGCAGCAGCAGCAGCAACAGCAGCAGCAGCAGCAGTAACAGGAGCAGCAGCAGCAGCAGCGGCAGGAAGGCACTAGAGTCTGCAGCTATAGGGACGGAGCAGCGCGCACGCGTGCACTTCTTCTGATCCACCCTCCTATCCGCTTCTGCTGCTGTTGCCTCTGCTGCTGCTGCTGCTGCTGCTGCTGCTGGTGTTTAGGAGTCGGACAAGCAAATAAAGTGGTTTTGGAGGGCTTTGGAGTCTTTTTCGCAAACAGAACGGCAAAGCTTTCTGCGGTTTGTCTGGGGCCGCTCGCGGCTGCCGCCAGCCCAAGCTGCGTGGGACCAGGAGATGGAGGTGGCTCTGAAGGCTCCTGCTGCTCGTGTCCCGCGGCCCCAGCCTGCTGCTGCTGCTGCTGCTGCTGCTGCTGAGGAGGAGGCAGAGCAGCAGCAGCAGGAGGGGAACTCGCCCCCCACCATCACCACGCCGGCCAACGGCGAAGCAGCACGCGCACGATTCAGCCCCACACCTGCTGCTGACGCGCTGCTGCTGCAGCAGCTCACTGATGAAATGCTGCCGCAGTCCCACACCTGCTTCTTCCAGGTGCGGACTGCAGCAGCAAGAGCCCTGACGCTGCTGCTGCTGCTGTTGCTGTTGCTGCGCGCGCCGCTGCTGCTGCCTCTGCTCTGGATACTGCTGCTGCTGGGGCAGCGCTGCCGCCAAAGTGTCGGCTGTTGTGCGCACTGCTGCTGCTGCTGCTGATGCTGCTACTGCTGCTGCTGCGTGCTATCACTTCGAATGTCACATTAACTGCTGCTGCTGCGCACTGCCAGCGTCACTGTGAGTTTCACTATTACTGCTGCTGCTGCAGCGCACTTCCACTGTCACTGCTGCTGTTTCTCCACACTGTCACTGCTGCTGCTGTTGCTGTTGCTGCTGCTGCGAAGGTGGACCTGCCGCCGTACTCGAGCTACTCTGTGCTGCGGCGGAAGCTGCTGTACGCCGTGACTGAGGGCATAGCCATTGACGCTGACAACACAGCAGACGCAGCCAACTGGGACTTGGAGGGAGACTAACAGCAGCAGCAGCAGCAGCTGCAGCAGCAGCGGCAGCAGCGGCAGGAGCTGCAGCAGCAGCAGCAGGAACAGCAGCTTT